CATATCTGTCGTAAAATAATCATATGCATCTCGTGGTGTATATTCCAAGCATTCTGAAGGTATACTGAGGGTTTGGTGAGAAACAAACTGAAATGGTAAGCTATTATATTTTATGAAAATCATGCGTTGCAGTGCGAGTGAGCAGCAGCTCACGCCGTGCACAAGTACATTTCCTTTGGAGATATCATATCAATTATAATCAATTTTAATAAAACACAAGACTACATTATAAAACTCTAACAGCAGGCTATTTAATATCTGTTGTTCTCCGGTTGTCAGTCAAAATGACAGTTCTTGCCTGAACATTATAGGCATATATATACCCAAACCAATTTATTATTCCTTGCTTTTTGTCTTAGTGTTTAAAATATTTATTTTGAAACGAATTAATTAATTAATTAAACAAACAGACTCACTGGGTGAGCAGGGTAGGCTATGACAGCTGTCATATCATACCCTGCCATGCCAGCTGATGCAAAGAATAGAATTTATACCTACACAGAAGAAAGCCCTGTCTAGACTCTGCCCCGGTATCGGAGTCATGTCGAGCTATTCATTAGCCTGTTTGTTTGATGAAAAAAGATGAAATGTAGTTGCAATAAATGTGTTAAGAATCAATACGGAGTCATGTCGAGCTATTCATTCAGCCTGTTTGTTTGATGAAAAAAGATGAAATGTAGTTGCAATAAATGTGTTAAGAATCAATACAACTGCAGCAGCAGAGGACTATTATTCTGCTGCGTGATACTGCAGAAGAACTGATGACGGCACGGCTGACCAATCAGCAGAAAGAGGTGTTTAATTCCTGCCCATGTGTAGAATTCGAATATTCAAGCTGTTTATTCATTTTTCTACCCCTGAATGAAAAACGAAAATTTAAGCTGAATTCTCGTTTTTCTTCTTTCAATATTAAATCAAAAAACGAATGATCGAATGATACACGGATTGATTTAACTTGCTTCATCTAATTTGATTCTTTTCATTTTGATGTGGATTTTGAAAACAGTAAAACTAATATTATAAAACAGTTCAGAAGCAGTTCAAACACTCCTCAATAACAGTTCTTCCTCTTGATTTATTTAGGACGCATCCCGCTCTGAATTTTTGAGTACTCTATATTTGTTCTTTGCTGTCACTTGTTAATTACGTAAAGCAGACCATCCAGCAAATCATGTAAAGGGTGTAGAAAAGTATTCAGAAGTCAAAATGTTTGTGTGGTCATATTGTACAATATGTGCCGTTTCCCACCCAGCCCAAACTCTAAGAACAAGCGCAAGATCTTTAGAGATGGATTGATTTGTTTTGGTGCATCACTGTAGCAGAAGCACAGAATGATCCAGTTACTGAATCACGGATGTGACTGGATGAAAGACCACTGATGTGACTTTGAAGTCTCATTTTCCTCCTCCGAGCCCTTCATCAAACTTCCTCCCACACACACACACGCATGCACGCACACAATAACTTTGATTATTAAATAACAAAAGCAGGACTCAAATATGAGTGTGTGTTTGTGTGTGTGTGTACATTTATATGGTGGCAGATTTGTGGTTTCCCTGCCAATATATTTTTTACATTAATATGTATTTGTTATTATTTATTTAATTGATTATATTATTATACATAAAGTAATAAATGAATAAATATATAAATATTAAGTAGCTATATATGTGTGTATATTTTTTACTTAAAACCTATTTGCTAAATAAATACATTTTAATTTAAATATTACACATATTATAACAAATATTGTTTTATGACACCTAAAAATATGTTGCTCGCCAGTGAAAATATTGATATCTATATTGGTCGTGTAATGTTAGTATGAACGGACATCTGCATATGATCGGAACTCCACGCAGCTAACGCGCTACTCTATACTGGTGGTATTACAGTACCATGAGAACTAAAGAGAGAATCGCTCTCGCGGATGATTGATCTGCACTGCGCCTCTAGTCGAACACACCGGCTAGTGCTGCAGGCTTATTGGCTCACTGACGCTGATGCGATTTACCCCTTAGGTATTGAAATTTGGTACCGAATGACAAGACGTTTTTCGATACTCGATGGTATCGAGGCAATTCGGTCAGTGCCTAAAAAGTATCGAACTCGATCCCCAGCCCTACCAGCCACAACACATAATTGCGAATAACATGCCTTACCTTAACACAGAATCGACCATTATTGAAGTGAATGAGGTTTAAATCGCCGTCATGCATGAATGAATGATATTTTTGCAATTTTACACATAATAATCCACGATGATCACATTACACAAAACTGAAATTGCAAGTGAAAATAACACATTGTCAATATTTTTTGAGACCCACCAAAATTTCACTAATCACGTTTTCAGGGGAGCCCATGTCTTATTAAGGGGAGCCGAGCTCCCCCGTAGTTCGCACCCTGGTCATACCAACGCTGGTTGGTTATACAGATAGAAGCAAGAAGACATTATTCAAAACTGTCAAGCTTTTTCAACATAAAGAAAACTGTAAAGCTTTTGCAAAATAAAGAAAACTACTTTCTGCTGTCTCGTTTTCCTTTCCGAGAACTTTGGAACACGTCACAATGAACCGTAACTCAGCACATTTTTTCTTTCGTTTTGTTAATCTGTCAGTGATTTAAGTGAAATAATATATTTTGTGTATATGCCTATATTCCTTTTTATGTAAGCCTATAGTTTTATTCAGTTTTCTCCGTTCACAGAAGCGCTGCAGTTGCGTGTGATCTGTTGAATCCTTACACTATCCTCAGATAAGCTCTTAACGCTGATGCATTGCCATTGCGACTTACCTATGATGAGTTCACAGCTGAGCGGGCATTTCACTCGTTGGCGTCAGTGTTACATTTGTATAGACCGTACTACTGGAATTCATGATTGGTTGACAGCAAATTTCAAATATTAAATGGAACGATAAACGTTATTAACCGGTTAATGGCCATTTCAAATTTTCGATTCTGCTCGGAACTATAACATTTGATTTAGTTTCTGGTTCTGTTCTTGTTAAAATTTTGTTCGTTTCCGGTTTTCGTTTTCATTCCTTGAACCGGTTCAGAGCCCTGGTAGGTAAGTAGGTAGGTGGGTGGGTGGGTGAGTGGATGGATGGATGGATGGATGGATGGATGGATAGAATGCAGGTAGTTTTTCTCTTGGTGCTTTTGTTAGCATAGGTTTTGGTTGCAACACCTCAGAAGGTGCCAAAATCAAGATTCAGAAGGGCTGATGCATCTCTTTGCACATGATGCTATATATGCTGAATATGTATGTTTTGGCAGCCTAGAAACTGGCATCATAAAACACACAGTGTGAAGATTATCTGTTACTGAAATCAGTGCAGTCTGCTTTATGTTGCTGGAGATTTTCTTGAGAATCTTTGGATATTGTCTTCATTACTGTCCTCTAAAGCCCAAGTGCATAGATAATGTTTATTTTGTTATATTCAGCTTCTCTGTACTTTTTAAAAAGCATGCTGGGATGTAAAATAATTTTTATTTTTTTTATCCTGGATGTTATTGAAGATATAGCAAAAAAAGCATTTCTCATAAATCAATCACATTTCCCCCAAGGACTCCTTTGCCCGCTCTGTTCTCCTCCAGAGACGACGCCTCTTGCAGTGCTCGTTTCTGTCTTGGAAGTGTACAGAATATACCAGAATAGAAGGACGCATGGTTAAAGATTCACTCCTTTTCAGTGTTTTAGGCAAAAAGTGTTAAAGAGATAGCTTGGTCACTTGCCCACCATCTTCTTGTTTCAAATATTGTTGCAGGTATTTTGTATGTTCACTTAGCAACTGTAATAAAGAAATGCATTCAAACTAGTGACATATTAAATATATTCACAATATATTTAGCAAATTTAAGCAGTTTTGTGAATGATTTCATTGTGCTGTTTCCATTCTTCAGTAATTGTATGCAAGTACATATAAGTATTTTTTTTTATTTGATATGCTATTATAGTGTCAATATAACAGGAATAGTATATAATAATTTAATATAATATTATAATTTTCTGTTTTCATTTGAATTTGAAAGTTTTTGTATTTTTTATTTTTGTTAGTTTTTGTGTTTTTTTTAAGTAAGTCTATAGTTTTGTTTTTTGTTTTTAATTAGTTATTGTATTTATAATTATATAATTATAATTATACAATACAATAGACATTGTATTTACAATACTTACAATAGACAAATATGAGAAGTGTTACCTTGGCAACTAGCTGAAATTTAAATGTATGTTTTTTTGTTTAATTTTATTTCAGATAGTGTTTATTTTCTTTCAAGTCATGAAATAGTTTTTAATGGTTTTAGTTAGATAATAACCGTGGTACATATAGGTTAACATTTAAACTGAGCCATTTATATCTGTGTGTGTTTCAAAATTCTTAACCCATCTCTGTGTGTTCTTGTTATAGATATGGAAAAATCGTATCAACCAAAGCCATCTTAGACAAAGCCACAAACAGATGCAAAGGTATGTACGTGTATGTTCTGATTTCTGTGGCTCAGAATCTGTGCAGTTTAGTGTTTTGTGCTGAGATGAGATGTCATATTCCTCTGAGAGCTGCTTAATTCAGTAGATTCAGAATCATCACATTGTATGGACGTGCACATCAACTTTTAATTAAAACAGATCCTGAAAATGGTTCTTATGACTGAGATAATGAACAACGCAGCTGATTTTGCAGTAAAGTGCCGAGTATAAATCCTGCTCATTTTCTTCATGGAGAAACCCATTTTAAATGATAACAAAAAACATCATATATAATAAAAAATAATGTGCCTGTTATCTGTACATGTCATTTCTTGTAGAAAAATACAAATAAATAAGTAAATAAAAATCATGTTTGCTTGCCAAATTTCTTCAATTTACTATAGGAAAAAAACGAATTGGAAGAAATACTTTAGAACCAAGGCTACTGAAAAACTGGACATTCAGTAGCATTTCAATATAGGGCACATTCAGGCTTTTATTCATTTTCATGAATCTCATCATTCATGAAACATGCAACCTCTATATGACATATTTTGCCAACCATAAATGTATGGATCAGCTCATGGTGTATAGTCATGTATTAACATTGCATAGAAGGGATTTTTGACTGGGTTGCATCTTATACTGTGATTTCGACCAACCACAAAGTGTTTTATCTGGTCCTCCGCTTGAGTCACGTCATGATTCACGACCACTGAGCTGCAACCTTGACATTGTATATATGGGTAGATCTAAAAAATTCAGCCTTTTGATAATCTTCAATGCATCTCAAAATGTATTTATTTCCTCTGAAATAAGTGTGATGTATATCAGAAAAAACATCATTTCAACCAAGGTGTAGGTTTGAATTTGGTATTGGTGAAATAAGACAAAAAAAGTAGGGATGCACCAAAATGAAAATTCTTAGCCGAAGCCGAACAAAATGAAACATTGGGTCAAAGGCCGGATACCGAACACAGGTGTCCGCATTTTTTCCCCCATGTAGACCTATTTTGCCAATTTGTTTTCACCATTGCATAAATTAAATGGCCAAAATTAGCTTTTTACTGTTTTCTCCTGCTTTTCAAATAAAAAATTAATTACAAAACAACTATTTAAAAATATTTACTTAACACTGAACATTTTTTTAAACATTCTAGCAGACATTATACCAACAAATTTAACTTCAAATTAATAAGTTAGTAAAATAATATTTTTTGGCCATTTTTGAGACTTGAGTCAGGCATGTCTTTTTTACTGTACAAATAAAAGCAGCCTTACTGAGCAGAAGAGAATTCTTTATTACAGATCCCAATTAGAACACTATGGCTGCGTTTACACTGGCACAAAAATCTGATCCGGTTCTCCACAGAACTCCCAATGCGAGGGCGACACGTTTGCTCATAAAGATTTGTAATGCCGGCGTGCTGTATGTGCTCGCATTTTATTAAGATGGAAACTTTTTATAGGTAAGAAATTGCACATTCAGGAGCTGGTTTTTAACTCCCGCCCCGTGAATTTTAAAAATACAACAGCTAAAAGCTACATATATTTCTCAGCAATGAGGTGATAACTTAGCAATTTTTGTAATTAAACCGACAAGCTTGTTTGCAATGCTTCACAATCGCTCGCTCGCACGTGGGTGCATGCGTTCGTTCGTTCGTTCGTTCGTTCTCTCTCTCCTTAATTCGAATTCATTTAAATAAATATCATCTTTATTTCACTAAAGAATTCTACTTCAAACGAGCTGTAGATAAAATAGTCTAACAAATTAAAATTACCATTATTTTCCGGTCTTTATCCGTTCAGTCAGATTTTGTGCTGCAAAACATCCATGACAGCCGTTGTCCATGCTGGCAAATAATAATGGCCATTCGACGTGAATTATATAAATAATTTTAATAGCACGGTCATTTAAAACCCGAGGGACTACCATGTGCATAGTAAAGCGATCACTGCAGACAATCCTTTTGGGTGGGATTTAATGTAAACACAGGTATCGGATACCAGTCGTGTCTAAAGTGAATTATTTTATTTTACAGAACAACAGTAAAATTACAATACTAACGTTTATGAATGTCGATGGAGTTGCTTTTTCTCTGCTTTTATTTTGGCAGAAACCCGCAGGAAGATCTCAGTGCTTCTTTTTGTTGACAACAGCATGCCGATTTATAAATTATTCTCATTACGAATTTGTGAAGATGTTTGTCGCACGTATTACATTGTCACGTGCCTTTAAAAAATTCACAAAAATGTTACTGAGCAACTGACGAGTAACACAGTTTTAGCGTAGATTTTCCTCGCGCTTTAGACTTTGAACCCTGGTGCCGCGAGCTCATGCAGCGCTGTCAGAATACATGCAATTCATGCGTGCATTAGAAAATATAACATTCTGCAGTTTATTTACTAATCGTTTGAGGCCATTTCACGATTTCAATCATCATACAGTAGCCTAACCACCAGCATCAGCCACCTCTTCTTCTCATCGGAGACATGTGATGCAGCATTAGTCTCTCGCTGTCGGTGCTTCGTGCTTGTAATGAGTTCTGCGTCTTTCTCTGATAGTTTTAAATACTTTCACGCTGCCGACATGTTTGCTGCATTAGTGCGTGCCTCTATTTGATCACTTTAGTCATTGTTCGGTGCATATTATTCGGCCTTTTGTGTGTGTGTGTGTGTGTGTGTGTGTGTGTGTGTGTGATCATCATACAGTAGCCTAACCACCAGCATCAGCCACCTCTTCTTCTCATCGGAGACATGTGATGCAGCATTAGTCTCTCGCTGTCGGTGCTTCGTGCCTGTAATGATTTCTGCGTCTTTCTCTGATAGTTTTAAATACTTTCACGCTGCCGACATGTATGCTGCATTAGTGCGTGCCTCTATTTGATCACGTTAGTCATTGTTCGGTGCATATTATTCTGCCTTTTGTGTGTGTGTGTGTGTGTGTGTGTGTGTGTGTTTGCACGCCCTGCTTTGCGTCATTGTGCAGCTGCATATTATTCTGCCTTTTGTGTGTGTGTGTGTGTGTGTGTGTGTGTGTGTTTGCACGCCCTGCTTTGCGTCATTGTGCAGCTATGCTGGCGTGGGTGTATCAGGAAACCGATACCCAGTCAGTCTGTCGCTGCTTCCCAGACCCCTCGCTGTTATTCCTGTCCTGGCCTCGCTGTCTTGACTGAGGCCTCTGGGGTTTGTTCCAGGCCGCAGAAGTCCAGGATCTGGCTCCGTTCCTGGTTTTGGCACCTCGGGGGCACGACTGCCTCGGAGCTTGTGGCTTAGTCACAGCGCTGTGGATTATTTATGTGCTGAGTAATTTCAGTCGGGCCTGAGGAGGAGGGTGTTGATGGAGCGGCTTCAGTCCGGCACTCCTCAACCCTGCCGAATCTAAAGCAGCCAGATGGAAAATATTAACCCAGAGTATCACAGTGATGCACAAATGCAAATGATCTAAATGTGACTGAACGACCGACCCAACCCATAGTTTAACCAGCAGAGCCTGACTTTCACTTTCACATCAAACTGCTCAAGCTTATATAGTTGCATGATTTTGCTGGAAATGTAAAAATAAGTTTTTTGTTTGATTAATGATTCTAGTTTAGACTAGTTTTACAGTTAGGTTGGTTAAGTCTGGTTAATAATAGTCAGAAAAGTGTCATTTTTGAACAGTTTATTGAACAAAATATATTAAAAGAAAGTTTGCATGTGCATTTGTTAAGTATCATGTTTGATCCATTTGGCTTTTATGGCTCATATAGTATGATATAGTGAGAATATGGAGAAAAAAACAGCTTGGTTTTATTCAGAGGCCCAAACTGTCACTCTCCAATAATGTCTTAATAAGATGATATTTAAATGCTAAGTTTTATGATCAAAATATTTAATGCAATGCAATACAATGATGATTGAGAGATGAACAAATTAACGTTCCTCAAAAGACTCAAATTTGAACATGATTTTTCTAAAAAACAATGATGGGTAATCAAGTAAAAAATGACTTCAGTCCAGTAAGTGTTCATCTTGAAATAGTACTAACAATATAAAAGTTATTCTTGCGGTTACTTGATAAAAATCAGTAAAGATTTCACAGCGAAAAGACACGTGAAGCACGAGCTGAAGGTGGGCATTTGTACAATTATATTAAAAGACATTTTTACTCGCTAAAAAAGCCTAAACTCTCAATCAGACGATGAAAGAAAGATTGCGTGCAATGTTTTTCAGCAAAGTTGATCATGCTGATCATTTAGAGGCTTTAGAAATTCATTATACAATAGGCTTTATAGGTTTCACTTTACATGGATCAGTTCAAAGTGTCCATTTCAGTGAATCACTCAACAGTGCTTACAGTAGACTCCATTTTTCAGTAAAAAAAGGTGTAGGAATATGTTCTTAATTTCTCTGTGTTGGTATATTGGAAAATATAAATGTATTTTATATTTGGTTGAAATGTTGGTTCCTCTTTTTTATGAAACTCTTTCATGTAGTTTCAGAGCAAATCCATATACAGTATATTAGCAAAAGACTATCGTTATTACTTGTGCGGATGGATCATAGCTGCGTTTAGTGAGTGTTTCTTTGTCACATATATTTGAGCTATTAATCAGGATGTTGTGCGTTTGTGGTTTGACCTGTTGGCTGATTAAATATAGCAGCAGAGTAGTGTGAAGGGTGGAGCTGAACGTAAGGACTTGTCTTGGATCGGCTTCCTCGTGTCCGTTTAATTGTTCTCATTAGGGGAAGCGAACACTGATAGTTCAGCGCTTCTCTTGATATATGACTCACAGCACACTTACTGAGATAAGATGCTCTCTACATGCAGAGCTTTGCTTCCTCCTGCCCTGAAAGGGTCTTTACCCAATACACAGTTTGTATTTGCAACACTCTCACGGGAGGCTCTGTGTCTGCTGGTGATTTGTGTATCAAAAAAACATCAGTGCACACATTAGATGGTGTCATTTAGGATCCCTTGAGTCTTGCATTTTTATTTTCTACTAAATTGTGTGTTTTTCTGTAAATCATTCCTTGTTACGAGAAGTTCCTTTATGTTTACAGTAACTGAGTTTCAGTTTTCATTAACCCTTTCCAAAACATGTTGCATGGATAAATGTGATCTAAATCATTTTATGTTGGATGCAGCATTACACAAAAGTTTTACACAAAATACTCAGTTTATGGGTGTATTTGTCACATTATTAATCTATCCTACACTCAAAAGTATCTTATAATGGAAGATAAAATAAATAGTACTTGAACTGTTAATGTAAGATCACTTGAGAGGGAACTAACTTTTAATTTAATTTAATTTAATTTTTAATTTAATTTAATTTATTTTTATTTTGTTCCACTGAGAATAAAGGAAATTAAAGGAAAAAATATACAAAATAGAATATGTAATGAATATGTAAAGAATATGAATAATAATAATAATAATTATTATTATTATTATTATTATTATTATTATTATTATTATTATTATTATTATTATTATTATTATTATTATTATTATTATTATTATTATTATTATTATTATTATTATTATTATTATTATTATTATTATTATTATTATTATTATTATTATTATTATTATTATTATTATTATTATTATTATTATTATTATTATTATTATTATTATTATTCAATATATATTACATATTTATTGTTCCTAAAATGTGCTTTCTTTAGTTTATTTTTCTATTATTATTATTATTATTATTTTAGGCTGAAATGGTACATGGGTGTTTTTAGTTTCACCTGGTTACTGTAGTACACCATGTTTGTTCAGGTCAAAACTGTGTGTTGCCCTTCTCTGTTTATGTGTGCTGTGTATTTAAGCTGATGTTGTGCTTGTCTTTCTCTCAGGCTATGGCTTTGTGGACTTTGACAGCCCTGCTGCTGCTCAGAAAGCCGTCAGCGCTCTGAAGACCAGCGGAGTTCAGGCTCAGATGGCAAAGGTAAGAACACACCTGTTCCTGCTGTCACCTGTAGCGAGATCCGTCTGACACGCTTCACTGGGTCATGTGACGTCAGCAGACTGTGATGTCAGAGGCAGATGCCTGAGAGTGTGAGGAGGACACACCTGTACAGGTGCAGCATCCAGACGAGCCGGCTGAATGACTGAAAGACAAACAGGAGCCAGTCAGGAACCTGCCCAGATCACATTTCACCACTAAAATCAACAGCAAACTAATTATATTAGAAGTTATATCTTCCGTTAAAGGGGTCATACGATGCGATTTCAAGTTTTCCTTTCTCTTTGGAGTGTTACAAACTGTTCGTGCATACTAAAGTCTCAAACCCAAAGAGATATTCTTTATAAAAGTTAAGACTGGTCCATGCACTCCTAAAACGCCTCGTTCTAACACGCCCCCACATGTCTACGTCACGATGTGGGAAGATTTGCATAACGCCGCCCAAATGTTCACGCAAAGAAAGAAGGCATAACTTTATTGTTGCCGCCGCCGCCATGTTGTGAAGATGAAACTTCGTTGCAAAAGTGAAACTACTTTGTTTGGCCTTCC